GAATGACCGGGCGCTGCTCCCCTCTCCAGCTCCCCTCTGCATCTGGCCCGCCATGCCACCTGCACCCCTGTGACCCGCCTCTATCCATGGCTGCTCCCTAGGCCTGGAGTTCCTCTGGCTAACTGCTGCGCATCCTCTCAGTCCCACGTCTACCACCACATCTTTGATTTGAAAACATGAGCTGCAGGATGCATCATTTCAAGCTTTTGACAGTGCGAGCCGGGAGGTGTGTATGTGGAGGGCGTTGTTTGCATGAAGTGGAAATGCATCCCCATCGGGAAATGCTAATTGTTTCAACAGTGATTGGTACCATCTCCTGCTGTAAGTGAGCCCTGGCTCTTCTCTTACCCCTGCGGCCCACCTCAGGACCTGATGGAGAGACCAGAGGAGCCAGAGGGACGAAGTCTCGTTCCAGGAATGACTGAGGGGGTGGTGAGGGAGCCAGGAGCCCATCTCCCTGGGCAGCAAGTGGGGGTGGGGTAGAACAGGGCCAGAGGCAGAGGCTGCCTCTAACCGCCCCACTTCCTGCCCCACCCCCAATCTTCAGGACTCAACAGCCACGTGCCAGCCTGGGTTTTCTGGAGCAAGTCCCCATTTTAAAAAGTCCTGTCTGATGACCTTGCCGGACCAGCATCCTTGTGGGTTCACAAAGGCTGCTGCCCACCACCCTGCTCCAGGAGGCAGCTGCCTCACCAAGCCTTCACTCCCATCTGAAGACGCCCCCTCCTACCCACAGCCCTGGCAGGCCTGAAGTTGGGGCCCTTTGAGAGAATGGGTGTCTAGGGTGCCCCTCGCTGATTCCTGGGACCCTGGAAAGATGCCGGTGAAAGCCCGGGGCTGGGCAGAGGTCCGTCCAGCTTCTGGCCTGGGAGAGGCTGGTTTTTTGAACGGTGCTGCCCTCTGGTGGTCGCGGGGAGATGGCGCGTAAACTTGCCTTTTCCAGGGACTTCACTCATTGTCTCTCAGTCTGGTGCCCAGACTGTGCCACCCAAAGGCTGGCCTGCACAGGTGATAGAGGAGTGAAACCCCATCTCCTTCCAGCTGGCAGGCCGGCAGACACATCATTACCCTGCATGACTAATAGGCGTTGTGAACTGAAATCATCCCACACGCTCGCTCCCACCACCCTGCCCCTGTCCAACCTGCTCCTCTCCGCCTCCCTGTCTCGGTTGTGGCTCCTGCATCTCCCAAGAGTCACCCTTGACTCTCCCTTCCCTCACAACCCCCGCCCCCACACAACTTGTCTGTCCTGTCCCTGACGGGGGGGGGGGGGGGGGGGGGGGGGGCAATCTCCAGCCTACCCCTAACCCTTCCACAGTGTCCCCCAGGCCCCCAAGCCCATCACCTCTGCCTGCAGCAGTCTCCTGGGAGCCTCCTGGCCTCTCCTTGCACCAGAGTGTTTTGCATTTTTAAAAAAGATTTATTTTTATTTATGCATAGAAGAGCTCGGGTGCAGGCCAGAGGTGCAGGGGGGTGCGAGGATTCCCCAGACAGAGAGTGGGCAGCCGAACAGGCCTACTGATGAAGCACACTGCTGAGGGGCGTAACCAGGAGACAGGAGAGGTCTGCTGTGCCATGACCATGTGGTCACCTCTAGGGCCGGGATCCGAACTGGCACTGAAGAGGCTGCAGCTAGCTTGCAGAGCTGCCCGAACCCGTTGCGCCTCCAGGGAGGGCCATAAGATTCAAATCATTCTGTCGGACAGGTGACAAATTATCACAAAAGCCAGGTGCCTGCTCAGGTGGTCAGGGAAGGTCGTTTTCTGCCAGAACCATCCGGGATGGGAGAGGAACAGGATGGCTGGGGCAGGGAAAGGAGCTTCTCAGGCCAGAGGAACAGCAAGTAGGGAGGCCTTGGGGAAGGCGCCTGCAGAAAGCGCCCGTACCTCAGGGACGCCGACCTTCGCTCCTGACCCAGCCGCAGTGTCCAAGGACCTCCAGCGGTCCCTCTGCTCTCAGGCAATGCCCACAGCTCTGGTCAGGCTTCCAGACCCCTGGCTGAGCTCATCTCCTTTCTCCCCAGCAGCGCGGGTTCCAGGGCCCTTCGGAAGTCTCCTCCTGGGAGCCGCAGCCGGCCTCGGCGACGCCCTCCCGCCCTTGCCCCGCCCCTCCCTACCTTGCCCCGCCCCTCCCTGCCTTGGCCCCACCCCTCCCGGCCTTGCCCCGCCCCTCCCTGTCTTGGCCCCGCCCGTCCCGGCATTGGCCCCGCCCCTCCCCGGCAACGGCCCCGCCGAGAATCCGGACCCGGCCCACAGAAGCGTCCCTAGCGCGCATGCGCCGCAGCGCCACGGCGCTGCCAGTCGGCGGAGTCCGCCGTGTCCACAGCGCGTGCGTTTTTCCCCTGACCCTCCCAGCCTGCCTGTGAGTGTCCGAGTCGTGGCCCCCAGCGACCCCACGCCCTGGCCACGGGTGCTGGCCGGGTCGGGAGCCGGAAGGATGTGTAAAGGGCCTGAGGTCAAGCGCGGCACCTGCTCCTGCAGCCCGGCCGGTGCCCTCTGCGCATGGCCCCTCTGCGCCTTTCCTCTGTGCCGCTGCCGCGGCGCCCCAGCCTGCCTCCCTGCATTGCCGAGGACTGACGGGATGATATGGGTGCAGCGTGGGGCTGGGGGCATGGTCTGCTGCGCGCTGCTGCGCGGCCCGGGGTGCGGCAGGGTCTGGGTCCTCACCCCGCCGCCCTCTAGGCTTCCTCTCTCCTTTCGGCCTCTCCTCTTTTCGGCCTCTCCTCCTCTCTCTTCTCTCTCCTCCTCCTCTCCTCCCCTTCCTCCTTCTCCACGTCTGCTGCCAGCCTTTCTTGCCCAGTCCTTTTGGGGTGTTGTCTTGCTGTGTATCTGTGTCTCTTTCTGCCATCGTCCTGTCTTGCCTCCCTGGGACAGCAGCCGCCTCCCTGCCCGCGGGTGGGGGACGCAGGCACTTGGTGACAGCGCTTGGCTGAGGGCACAGCCAGCTGCTCCCTGACCTTGGGTGCTGGTGTCACTGCCCCGGCTCTCACAGGCTGTGGGCCCTGAGTTCTCCTTCTGGGCCCTGGGCACCTGGAAAGGTGAAGGTGGGAGGGTGCCCCTCAGCCAGTGCCAGGCCTGCTCTGCAGGTGGCTACTCAGATGGCACTGGGCACAGAGCTGGCCCGGGAGAGCGGGTCCCCGCCCAGCAAAGGAAACACAGGGCCTGGGCCAACAGTGATGATGACACGCAGGGGCACGGCAGTGCAGGGCTGTGACTGCCAGGTCCTGCGCGTGCTGTAGACCTCCTGGGACAGGGAGGGAGGCAGAGCCGGCTAGGAGCTCAAAGGGCTGTGGGAGAGGGGGCGAGCAAGCACCAGCCTGGGTGCTCGGCGGGACCGAGCTCCCGAGTGCCATCCCCAGACCACCTGTGTCCGGCTCTGCCACCAGCCGCAGCACCTGTCTGGGCCTTGGCCCTGGTCCAGAGTGAAGACACCTGCCTCTGTGTGGGTGTGAACCTGAGGGCAGTTGCTGGACAGAGAAGCCCGAGAGTCTGGTGGGGCCATGTCACTCCGCAAATGGGCCCCGTGGCTGTAACAGCTTCTCATCCCCAACACCAGGAGACAGTGGCGGGAGCTCTGTCTGTAAGTGCTTAGAGCAGCCGACAGGGTGGGAAGGAGAGGTGCGCCGGCAGGCTGGCTCCTAGTGAATCCCTTCTGGGTGGCGGCAAATGGAGGAGGAGCCAAGCCACCTGCGAGCAGAGGGTCCGCCCGGCCTGGCCTCAGGCCTGCCAGGGGTCCCAGCCACATGCCCCAGGGTGCCAGTGGCAGGGTGAGTTTAGATGCTGCCCCAGGGGCTCACTGACGTGTTTGTGCCTCAGGACCTCCCGGCTGGATGCAGCTTAGATTGGCCCAGGGAAAAAAAGCCGGTAGCACTGGCGCAGGGGCGGGCAGATGTAGGAGGTGGCGGAATTTGGAGCCCGTGCCAAGATGCACTGCATGGGGAGACGGGCCTCCGGAACATCCACTCTAGGGTTCCCGGGGCCTCTAAGTGCCAGCGTCTGCACCAGTGTCTGGGGAGTGTGGTGGGTAGAGAGCGCCACTGTCTTCATGGAGCTTCTGGGTGAGCAGGGAGACTGACTAGAGTAGCCCCCAAAACCGGTGGTCCCGTGGGAGTGGCCCAGCCTGGAGAGGTGGGTGCGGGCTCCCCAGAGGAAGTACGGGAGCCGAGAAGGCTGGCAGCGAGCTGCGGGAGTGGCAGCTGGCCAGGCGGTGGGAAGCCAGGGTGCGGGTGCGGGCAGGTCTACCTTGGCAGTGTTCTGGCTGCACGTATGGGAGGACTGGGCTTGGCCGGGGGCCGCAGAGGTCTATCACGGTCCCATGGTCAAGGCCCAGCCCGGGCGGCGGGAGCGAGGGTACTGTGACGGTGGTTGTGAGGTGCTGAGGAGGCAGAACGGACATCCTCCTCTGGCAACATGCAAACATGGCCACACCTGTGTTGGTCTCCAGGAAACCATCACGGAACCAGCCCACTGACCAAGACCTGGTCCTCCTTTTCTCGAACATGCAGAACTGAAGATGGTACTTATCTGTCAGCTTGCCGAGCGGGCAGTGCAGGGACCCCTGCTTCTCTGCAGCTAGCGGTGGCCGCAGGCTGGGTCCTGGGGAGGTTTTGAGCGCTCCAGGGCTGCTCCCTTCGGCGAGAAAGCGAAGGGCAGCAGCCTCTGTTGGGAGGCGGGAGGCTTGTGCCCACCCGCCGTGCTAGGTGGCAGCAGCGGGCCTGAGGGTGGAGTCCAGGCAGGGGGCAGGCCAGTGCCCAGGGCTGCTGGAGCCCCCTCTGGGGTGGGGGCAGAATCCCACAGTCCATGCAGCAAGTCTTCACACCCACCGAGAAGCCCCTCTGGCGAAACGGGGTTCTTGGGAAGTAAGGGCAGCTGGGCCGGCCCCCTGTGGGCGAAGCCCGCTGGGCCCAGACCCTCCCATCCGCCCTTGCGCGCGCCCAGGCAGAAGAGTCTTGTTTTCACTTTTGTTTTAAAGTCTTTTTATTAAAAAAAAAAAAACCCAAATCAAAATATTTCCCAGTGGAGGCTATTTCTTTTTTTGTCTTTTTAAAATTTTATTACACAAATATCTCCATTCCCACGTGTCAGAGGAAAGATGTCCTTGCTCTTCTAAAACCAATAGTGGAGAATGTTTAGAAATCAGAGTCCAACTAGCTCCCTCCTTCCCTGGCCCACAGTAACCCCCAACGTGTCAACTGAGACAGCATGACTTGTCCCCTTAATGCTTACATTTAATTTAAAATTTTTAGCACAGCATTGGAGATTGACTCTAAATCAGCAACAAAAAATATATATTTACAATATTTCTCCGAAAAAACAAAGAACACAACCAAACCCTTTAAACATAGTGACTTTAGGAGTTTTATTTATGGAGCAGTTATTTTTTTTAATCACCAAGTGATTTTATATTATATATATATAAATTTTCTTCCTTTCCTTTGCGGTTTTGCGCCCCGGTGCTTGGAAAGATGGAGGCAGGTGTCAGGTCCTGCGGGCTGCGGAGGCCGGCGGAGGCGCGGCTGCGGGTCCCTGTCCCCAGAGACGTTTCTTTCCTCCACACAGCCCAACCCTCACCCTAAAGCCGGTCCCCTTCACAGTCCAGAGAAAAGGAAGCCCAGCGATGGCCGCGGTCCTCTGCCGCCGCTCCAGGGCGCCTTTCCTGCTGGCGGATGGACGTGTGTGGTGAAAATGCTTTTTTTTTTTTTTCCAAACCCTAACAAAACTAAAACCCAACACAAGCCACCAGCTTGGAAAATCCTGTGGGTGAAATGTCCCGAAGTCAGAGGCACCTCCCGGCACGATCCCTGCTCTGAAGGGGTCTCTCCACCTCCCCTTTTATAAAAACACAACATAACAAAAACAATCTTCAGTATTTTTCCACAGGAGCAACCAAGAAAAGGCAGGAAGCTTCCAATCATAGATCATTAACAATAATATTAATAAGGTTTTGCTCACTACCCAGGGTTCTGACGGAAGTCCCCTAGCTGAGGCACTCTTGAATAAGTCACTGGCGTTTCCTCAAAGTGTGGTCCAGGTCGCTGGGGCCTGGAGCCCAGTGGGGCGGGTGGGGGTCGGGGAGCAGACTGCTGCTTTTAACGTGCGGCCCAGAGAACCAGCAGATTGGAACGACGGACAGACGCCGCCACCCCACAGGCCCTGGTGCTCTCCTAGCCGGTCCGGGTCAGAGCAGAGGCGGCACAGGCGCCTGGAGCGGCAAGGGCAGTCACGTCTCCTCGGTGCTCACTCGGGAGCCCTCCGCCGGCTCCTTCCCCTCCCCCATGGGGCTTCAGAGGAGAGCCTGAGACTGGGCAGCGGGAGAGGGGCCAGCAGGGACGCAGGGACAGGGCTGGGACAGAGGGCGAGGTTGTGCTATCACTATCCTTACAGATGGGGAGCAGAGTGCAAATCCGCGTCTATCACTTCTCAGCTCTGGCTGCAGGTGCTGCTACGAGCATCTCCTCACACGCTTAAATATTGACCCAAAAGAAACTCCGACCTTTTTTTTTTTTTAAAGTGCAAAAAGCTCTCTGCTGCCCTAGAGAGAGGATCTTTGGACAGGCCGTTCAATGCAAGTGAAAGGGGGCAGCTGATGGGGCTTGACACGGCGGTGGAGCAGGAGACGGGATGCCCCCCTACGCCTAACACACTCAGCCACACACACGAGGCACATGCACACCCCCTTCCACGGCTGCAGGCAGAGGGCAGGAGACTGGCTTCTGAGCAGGACCTCCCTCCCCATCCTATGAAAGGTGCCAGACCAGAGCTGCTGGGGGCTCCACATGGCCCCAGGCTGAGGGGCCACCGCAGAGCAGAGGCCTGGAGCCAGCTGGGATGTGGCCCAGCTGTCCGTCCCCCCACAGGGGAAGACAGGCACTCCCTCTGAGGACACGCATCCTGGACAAGCCCTGCTCGGCAGGAGGAGGGGTGTCTCGGAATCTGACTAGGAAGCAATACAGGGGGTGTCTTTGGGCCAGACAGTTCCAGCTCCTCTGCAGAGCCTCAACCCCATTAAGTGCAACAAGGACCTCAGAGACTAGCAGGCGCCTGCGGGCGGGGACCTCATCCTGGGAACACGGGGCCATCACAAGCACGGACAGGACCAAGTACGGGGGAGGAGGGAGAGCACAGACGTGGAAGAGGCCTGAGACACCTCAACAGCACCAGTGTGATCTGGATGGGTCTGGCGTTTCTGGGGCTGCCGGCCCCTCCTGCGAGCCGGGAGTGTGACGGAGGAGACACGCACTGGACACAAGGAGAACCTGGCCACAGGGACTGGGCCACTTTCTTCCCTGGGAGTTTGCTCGGAACCAGGCACTGCTGGGGACCTTGGCCGGGGAGGAGGGCCCCGTGGCCCAGCACAGATGACGGCTGCAGACACCCCAAGCTGAGAGCCTGGCCTCCTGGCGGGCGGTGGGGCACACGAGCAGGCACCGAGAGCACACAGCCTTTCCCTTCGGAACAATCTGCTGCTCCCTTCTCCCCAGGCGGGGAGGAATGGGCAACCTCGCGTCCACCACCCTCTGCCCCGGCTGCAGGGGAGGGCTCAGGGGACAGGAGAGCGGAGAGGGAGTGTGGTGCTGGCCTCAGCCCGCGCAGCTGTCGGGGAGAACAGCTCTCCTGGCCGGGAGCTGGGATGATCGCCCTCCTGCTGGGTCTCGGGTGCCTTAGCTGATCTTCTGTATCAGCTTCTCATCAGACAGGCAGTAGAGACTGTTGATGGACAAGTCTGAGATGAAGTGCTCGCAGGCTTTCCGTGTGATCTGCTTGCATCCTCGAAGGTCAATCAAGGTGACGTTGGCGATGCGTCGCAGGTAGATCAGGGTCTGGTCTGTCAATTTATTGCAACCTGTCGGGAAAGTGACCATGAGGACAATGCTGTGGACACAGCCACAGGTGGAAAATGCTACTGCAAAAGCCCACTATACCCACAACTACCTGGCGCAGAGGCCAGGAGGGCCGCCAGCACGAGACCTCCTTGGGCCCCTTAGGTAGGTACCTGGTGCCGCTCGAGCTCTCGGATTCCCAGAACGTAAGAAAGGGACAGAATGGCCCAGTCCAGGTGTGGCGAACTAGGGGAGGTGATTCTGTCTGGTCACTAGGGGAAGCTCTAGCGAGGGCTGTGCCTCAGAGGCCCAGCTCCCAGGAGGCCGCAGCAGCGTACCTGCCATGTTGAGCTCCGTGAGGGAGTAGCGCGTGGAAGACCCGACAGCGGTGAGGAGGTTGGAGGACTGGTCTGTAAGGTGGCTGCAGTGACTGAGGTCGAGTCGCGACAGGAGGGGCATGTGGCGAATGATGAGGCGAAGTGTGGCATCTGTGATGTCGAGGCCGGCCAGCCGGAAGTCAGTCATGTTCCGGAGCTTGCTGCGATTGTCCTGACCTGCCGGATCAAAGAGCCCAGATGGATACTGACCCAGGCCGGCTCAGGCTGCAGGCAGCTTTTTGCTGGCCAGGGCCCCTCGCAAGAGTCAAGAAGAACTGCCCACACCCAGTCCTGCCGCAGGGAGTGAGCAGCATGCGGGGGCAGTTTCTAGGAAACCAGACACGACTTCTTCCTTCCCAGCTGCCAGATTGTGCCTCACGCACACAGCAAAAGGGTATGCGTGGGGTGCTCTCCCCGCCACACACCCACACTTTCCTAGCCCATCATGGTAACAGTTCTTAGTGTTCCACCTCGACCGGGAAGTCTCCCCAGACTTCCACAAGCTACCCTCGGGGCCCCAAGCATGGCTGTCAGCTGTACTGTGCGCGGGTCACGGCTGTCGCTGCTCTTTCGCAGTTTCCCCGCCGAGGCGAGACGCCGGCCCTGGAACGTACCTGGTTTATCAGCCGGTGGTGTCAGCAAGTCCCGAATTTGAGGGTCCTTGATTCCTACCGCCCACCGAAGATCAAGGGTCCTGAGAAGGGGGCAGCTGGAGGTGCTGAGGGCAGAGACTGCAGACCAGGAGCAGCCTGCGAGGAGGAGGTCCTTCAGTCCTGCGAGGAGAGGAGAGACGTGCAGTCACCACTGCAGCCCCACGCGGGCACCACCTGAGACGTGACCGGGTGATCAGTCCCAGCCTAACAGGAGGCAGGGGCCGTGTCCTACCTGCCTGTCACCGGTACAGATTCCCCACGACCTCTGCTTTAGCGGCAACAAGACCAAGTGCTTAAGGGTGGGTGGACTCCTGCCTTTTTGAGACTGCCAAAGGCTAAAGGAAGCTGGGCTTACAGAGGGCTGGTCAAGGCCACATCTGACTCTTCGGTGGCTACGCAGAGAGTGACTGCGGGCTGGCAGTGCCTGTCCGGTGAGTGACTGGCTACCAGCCAGAGTGCTGCCCCGGGACTGTGGTTCAGGGGCCCAGGGGAAAGCTGGCACTAAGCAGGAAGGCAACAAGGGCTGCCCTGAGCAGTCCTGAGGGTGATGCCCACGAGGCGGCCGTGCCAGCTCCCGGCCAGGAGAGGACTGCAGTCGGCGCTCACCTGGGAGCCTGTTGACCAGCCATGTCAGTTGCTTTTTGGAGATATTGGTCCAGCTGAGGTCGAGGCTGACGGGCTGCCTCTTGATGATGCCGCTGAGCGCCTGGGGGACAATAGCCTTACACCTACTTAAGTCGATTTTTGTCCAAAGTCTCTTGTCACAGCACCTGTGCCGGAAGGGGAGAGACCTGTCAGCACCTTGATACCTCTTGTCAGAGGTACTCCCCTTACAGGCTGCCGGGGGCTTCCGGGAAAGCAGGGCATCTGGAGGGCCACTCCCAGGCTTCCTCTACAAGCCAACAGGGGTCAGAATCCACCGTTGTCTTTCTTGCCCTCCACGGCAAACCCAAGAGAAGCTGTGGAAAACAGGGCCAGTGTGCCAGGACCTTCTCAGGACGCTTGGAGCAAAGTGCTCAGGACGCAGCCTGAGCGGACAGTGAACCCCTCACTTGTGCTGAGATGGCTCCTGTCGAGGCACATGTACAAGAGCCTCTCAGAACTCCCAGGCTGCCCCCTCTTGCCACCTGGCCAGTCATTCCTGGAGCCTGAGCCATCGGGCACCACTTGGCACATCTACGACTCGTCTTGCTTTTAGCTTTACAAAGAGCCCATTACTGTATCAGGCCCAGAGAGGCTCTCTGATCAGGCCTGGAGGCCTGCCCTACCTTGGGTTTCTCTCAGTGCTCTCTACGTTTCCCGCCAGGCCAGGCGGGGCCAGCGCCCACAGGAGAGGCCTGCGTTTCCACCGCAGTCTCCAAGTCCGCAGGCCACAAGCAGCACTGCCACGTGCAGGCCTCTGTTTACTCCTTCACAGCCCCGCCCTGGCCAGGCTCAGCGTCTAGCTGGCAGCGGATGGGGACTCGGCACATAATGGGAGTCTGCCATGGCTCGGCTGGAAACTGAGGGCAGTGCCAGGCGGCCCACTAGCCCGACAAAGAGAAACATTAGAATTTGGGTAGTAATTCAGATTTGGGAAATAAACTTGTGTTTGCAAAGAATGGGCTCCTTATTCAGACTGGGATCATCACACGAGTGGCACATTAAACTCCGGTGGCAAAATCAGCAGCTTTCAATAATAGTTCAATGGACTTTAGAAAGGTGTACTGGGCTCCCCTGGAGGACAACTTCTTAGAAATGCACCCCGAGGTTCTTTCTAACCAGGAGATCTGATAGGCCGAGAACCTGCCTTTCTGGCAAGGTCCCAGGGAAAGCCACTGGTCCACGTATCCCCTCAGAGCTACTCTGACAGGACCTGACTCAGATCTGAAGGCTCCCAGCTAGGACCCAGGAGCTTAAGGGGAAAACCACAGTGTTCTCTGGGAATCTCTGTTCATCACCTCTAGGGGCTCTGCCCCTAAGCGTCTAAAAGCATCTCTCGTGACATTACACACATTAAGTCTGGTTAAGAGTCCTGACTAACTCTCAGGAAGTTTCAAAGTACGATCTTGCTTGCTGGATAAAGGAAACCTAGTCCAGGTTTGGGGAATGAGGAATTAAAACAGAAAAACTGTGAGCACCTTCAGATTTTGGGAAAAGCCACGTGCACTTCTCTTGTTCACTAGAGAGGCAGCTGAGGCAGGGCTGAGCAGTGACCAGTGCCAGGAGTGACTGGCACCTCACGGGCTCTCAGGAAAGTGTGACGAGTTCTGCTGACTTGGGGGAACAATCTCCAGGTCTCAGGGTGCGTAGCAAAAGTGTACAAGCCCACCTCCCAGAACCGTTCCCCACGCCCAGTGGAGAGAGGTGGGGAGGTGCAGAGCAGGGAGGAGGCTGAGGGCCCGGCCCGCGCACGCCGGCCCACGCCGTCCACGCCGCTACCAGGCCCCGGCCGGCTGGTGCCCTGAGCAGCGGGCGGGTGCGGGCGGACACATGCTGCCCTCACACCGACCACCTGCCGCCTAGCCCATCCCGACTCCGGCTCCCTGTAGCCCTGCTCACCATTTATACCACGTCTTGCACACGCGCATACATTCACAAAGTTCTCTGCGGCTGAGGTAGCGGAAGACAGACATCCAGACCTCCCGCTGCATCCAGCTTTCGTCTCCATCCTGAGCCCAACTGCCCCGGCCATTCAGCCTGGCCGCACCCCCCTCCTCTGCACTGTCATCTTCCTCCTCCTCCTCCTCGTCCTCCTCCTCTCCCCCCAGCCCCTCCTCTTCCCCACGCTGTGGGGCTCGGGCCGGGCAGTGCTGCACCAGCACACGGGGGGAATGGCGGAGGTTGGCAGAGGAGGCCGTGATGGCCTGCAGCTTGGGCACAATGGAGGTCCCGTGGAGCTCTTTGGTGGGCCTCTGCAGCGTGACCGTGAGGTACGATCCCCGGATCTTGGCTTTTTCAACTTCAGACAGCTCCTTTTTGCCGCTGGGGTTGTTCTCCTTTTCCCGTACCATGGTGCGCTCTGTGGCCTGTAGCCGCAGCAACTGCCGCCGTTTGAAGCGCTCATCGCGGCTGGCACTGTGGTGGTCGCTGGGGCCAGCCCCAGGGGAGGACCGAGTCACCATACCCCGAGGGGAAACCGGGTCGTGGATGAGCTGCAGCATGGAGGTGGGCGAGTGAGGCGGGGGCGTGAGGGGCTCGTCGCAGCTCCGCAGGGGCCGCAGGACTTTGGCTTGCACGGCTTCTTCGTCGCTCTCTTCCATCTTCCGCTTCTGCAAAACAGGCCCCCAAAGCAACGTCAGTGACTCCTCTCCTCCACACCCTCACTTTACAGATGGAATCCTCAGCGGCTCAGGGCACTAACGAAAAGCCCCTTTAGTGTGGGTGGGAGCCCTGCCCGCTGGGGGCGGCGTCTCCTCAGCCTGCTGCAGGCCAGGCCCGACTGCGGGAGTCAGCACACCAGAGCTAGCGCCGAGCAGAGAAAGCGGATCACAGAATAACATCCTCAAATAGGTCATCTGGGAATGTAGCTGTGACGGAGAGGCTGGCACCAGAGCACAGGGTGGGCTCCAAACCCAGCCGTGTGACTCCAAAACCCACCTCACCACCCTCGTCCCATTTTGCTATTATGATTCTCTGGGTAAAAACACCCTTCAAAGAGGTCACAACTCCACCCCTATGTAATCTGACCATTTTCAATCCTGTCTCTAAATTAGCTTTCACCCAAGAGACAGTTCTCATTTTAGCAGCAGAAGCCAAATGTCCTCGGACGCTGGGTCTGAGGCGTCTGAGCCTGACACTAGCAGGCGCTGCCTGCACCCAGCACCCCACCCTCTCCCTTGGGATCAGCCATGTGGGGGAGATGGAGCAGAGAACGAGAACCTCTGTGAGAAGCGGCAATGCTTCCCGAGGCCTGTGCTGCGGAGGAAAGGGGGCAGCTCAGGTCCGGTGAAGCCACTCTACAAAGGCCACAGCCTCAGCCTCAGCCTGCAGCCCGGTTCTGCAGCGCCGGCCTCTCTGGCTGCCCGGACTGTGCTGTCATGAGGCTGCGTCCGTCTGTTCACTGGGCGGCCCAGCAGCTCTGACTTTCCTTAAGGAGACGTCTTACGTCCCTAAGCAGCCACCTGGCTCCCTTTCCTTCCGTTCTCAGATCACTGCAGTCACCATGGTTGCAAGGGAACCGTCACCATTTGGACGCCGACTGTGACGACAGTCCCGCGGGCCATCTTGAACCACAGCACGCCCGCGCCCCCACCAGGAGCAAGTGCTCACAGCCACCACTGCCACTGTGTGGCACGCCCGAGGAGGCTGGTGGTGACACGGGGCCTGCGGCCTGCTTGGGGAGGGCCCCGACCAGGCTGTGTCTCGCCCATCCCGGGAGCCGGAGCCCTGCTGGCCCTTTACATTCCTGGTGACCACCGGGCCAGCGACCACAGCTGCCTGGGCCAAGGTCAGGGCACCAGTCCCCTCTGGGGAGTGCCTGGGCATGGAGGACACAGCTGGGCATGTGGGCAGGGTGCTTTCTGCGAGGCCACAGGTAAAATGACAAAAAATGTGAACCTGCTTGACGGGAAACTCTAGTACACTGCTGTGCTCCCCGGCTGCCTCAGTCCCTCCAGCTTCATTCCTCAGGGCCAACCTGCTCGCTTAATGGCCCTCCTCAAGCAGCCCAGTTCCAGTTCCTCTTTCTAGGGCCCCAGAGGGTAAAAAGGACTTCAGGAATTTGCAGATCCCAAGTGAAGTAACATTTAATACAAAACAAAGACCAAAAAACAATAAAAAAAACTCAAACATAAGGAAAACAATTAACCACGGCAGGGCATCTGGGGGGTGGGGAAGGTGACACAAGAAGAAAAAACATCTCCCGGGCCTCACTGGTGGTGCAGGGCTGAGACTCAGCACTGTGAAGCTGTCGCAGCCACTGCAGCATGAGCTGGACCCCCGGCCAGGGAGGGACCCCCAGGGCACGGCAGACCGCTCCTGCCTCCCCGCTACCCCCTCAGCAGTGTGTTTCGGTGGATCCACCTGTTCTGCTCCCTACGCTGGCTCTGGTGAGTCCTCTCACCCCCCGCACCTCTGGCCTGTACCCCAGCTCTTGTATGCATAAAAAAATCTTTAGAAAGAAAGAAAAAACATCTCCATGGCTCAGAAAAATTGCATGCAAAGCCTGAGCATGGCCTCCTCGCACAGAGCGCCGCCTTACCTGGGCTTTCTCTGAGCTGTCCTCCTGGTAGCACTTGGGACACTCCCAGCAATTTGGCAACTCCTCATTAAGCAAGCCCTCTCCGTCCATCTATAGGCAGAGAGGGATGTTAGAAACATCTCATTTAAAAGAAGAAGCCAGCCAGCCACACGGCGGGAAGAACCTGGAGGAATTACCCTTTCTGTGGATGGTGTCCACAGGGGAGAAAAACTGGGAGCCGCTGGGACTGGTCGCCCTCACCTATGCTCACTCGATCAAAGTGAAGCTCCACAGGAGACTCTCAGAGTCTGGGTGAATGTTGACAAGTATGTTCTTTCTCAGGGCACCACCCCACCCTGCAAAAGGCACTGAACACCCAGGACTGACGCCAGACTGACCCTGGCAGTGGGGCACAGCACTATTGACAGCTATGCTCGGAGACTGGTGACCTAGTCTGGGGCTCAGGGTCCCTGTAGAGGGAGGCTAGGTGACACCACCCACCTTCCAGGGCATGGGCGGTTCACTGCCTAATGGAGCGTTCAGAGTGCCAGGCAAAGTGAAGCCCCTCTCTGGTAATAGTGAAGCCACCTTCACCATCACGGAACTAACACTGTTGTCAATTCTAAGATGCATATTTTTCACATTTTCTGAAACGGGCCTGCCTCTCACAATGGGTGATGCCGTGAAACCACTGTCAGCCGTGGCACCTCGGGGAAGTTCCTGCACTGGAGAGCCAGCACCACTGTCTTTCAGTTACAGAAATAGGAAAGAACGGTGGCCCTGACTTCTTAGGCTGTCCCACAGGATAAACAAGAGAATACACGTAGGACACTGGGCCTCCACCCCTGGCTACACAGTGGAATCACGAGGAACCTCTGAACCCATGGAGGCCGAGGCCTACGCCAGAGGTTTCTGAGATGAAACCTGAACTTCAGACCACTGTCCAGGTGTGCCCCAAGCCCGACCTTGACTGGGCACTCATTCAATGTCAGCTCACACGGTATCCTGACTTCAGTGGACAGCAGAGATGCCCCAAGGTGTGAGGGCTCCAGAACAGACACAGAGCCCCCCACACACACTTCAGGCCTTCAGGGTAGGGCCAGGGCTGCTCTGTGGTCGATTCTCAGCATCTACCACAGACGCTGGAATCAAGCTTGAGGCCAGCAACACCTGACCACGAGCAGATGGCCTGCACAGCTGGGAGGCAGGAGCTTCAGGCACAGCCACCCCACTCTCCATTTGTCCCCTCTGTCACTTAAACACCCTCTTGCTGACATGGGGGTCCCTTAGGCCTCTCCTCACCTGGAGGCAGCCAGGATGAACAATCTCATTACAGATACAGCACTCCATGAGTTTCTTCTCAAAGTCCTGTGTCTCCTCATTCTGATCCACCTCTCCACAAAGGGAGCAAGTGACGGAGTGGGGCAGCCTGGGCTAAAGGGACGAGAGAAGAAAGAAACCGAAAGACAGCAGACTTAGACCCTCACTTCAGCAGCCCTTTAGCTGAAGATGAGCACTCTGGTTCCTGTGACTCTCTAGTACTCATGCAGGGAGCATGGAGACCATGTAGGGAAGAGGTTTCCGGTGATAAAGTCACTGGGAAAGAAAGACGGGGAGAAACCACTAGCTGGGACCTAGGGAGCATGCTCAGCCGGCCGGCCTTCGGCCTCTCACGGCTTCTTCTCGCATGTGGTCTCTCGTGTGGAAAGCAGGCAAGGCCAACGGGGCAAGTCAGACCGTGTCTAAGCACCTTCTGACGCCAGAGGAAGGGCCAAGATGAGCGCCGAGATGAGCAGTCTCCCCTCCAGCTCTGGAGTCTCCAGGACCCTTCACCTGTGCATCTCAGCCCTCTGGGCACCACCCCCTCCCCAAGCCTTTACCCAGCAGAGCACTCACTGCTAAGCACTGCCGGAGGACACAGGACTGCTTCATGCGGCCGGGGCCCCCAAACTTCTTCATGTCCCTGCAGTAGTGGCACACGCCGCACTCCCCCTGCACACAGGCCTTGCATTTCCGACAGCGCACTCGTCTCCGCCGGGCCCCCGACACAATGGGGGAGGCTGCTGCAGGCCTCACGGGCGTTAACCGCGGCGCTGGTTTCATAGTGTGAGGCTTGGTGATGGGGATGGTAGGAACCCGCACCTTTGGCCGGGAAGGGAATTTAAGCTGGAAAGAGAAAGCAGTGAGGTCAAACGGATCAGGTGGCTTTAAAGGCTGCAAAGGGAAGGAGGTTCCAGGACTTGGCAAGCTACTAACTCGGGGCAAACCTGCCCGCTGCCTGTTCTTGCAAATGAAATTGTGCAGGAACGCAAAGATGCCTCTTTGTTTACACAGCACCTGTGGCTGCTTTCCTGTTACAAGATCAAGGACCATGTTTCCTACTAATCTAATTTCCCCAACGTGACCTACAGCTTTTCTGACACAATGCACTCGACGGCCAGAAGGGCCACACCGTCTCACGGGGGTCTCTGCAGCCGAGGCGCAGGCGAGAGGGGCTCCTGCACCTCTGGAGGAGGTGGTGGCTCTTGGAGCCCTTTCCACCGCACACCTTTCTATTCTGCTAAACACCCCTGAGTGTGTGATGGCTGTGCAAGTTTCGGCTGGAATATCAAAGAAGAACCTAATGTGTGTGCCCAAATGAGAAAGTGAATCACTTATTTAATAAATAACCTCGACAAGGACAAATGGGAAAAAGTTACACGAGATCTAACTTGAAGAGGCATGAGCATTCACAGCTGACAGTTCACTGTGATGGGCGAGTCCTTCCTTCTCTTCTCATTCAGTTTAATACTGAAACGTGCACGTGAAGGGAACCTGGAAGAGGGCTTGCTCCAGCTCACCAGTGCTGGCCCTCACTGCGTGTGTAAGTATTGCAACCAGTGTAAATCCTATCTGTGAAACGCTGACCGCTGGGACAGAGGCTGAGATCCGATCCCCTCTGTGAGCAGATGCACACCCTGGCGTCCAGACCTAGGGCAGGTCTCCTAGTTCTGTTAAGAGAGTCACCTCCAGAGATGGATTGCCAATTACCCGACCTAAGAGTCAAACAGAACTGAGTAATGGTTTCCTGTCAGTTTATATTCCTGCACCCACAGCTGTCTGCGTCCAGTTCTTTTTCTTCCCAGAATGGTAATATTAGGCTGATGAGCAAAGGCTTCAGCAGCCTGAGGAGCAGGAAGTTTCTTACCTTATCCCTTTTTGGCCACTGTACTATCGGGACTCCAGTGAGGGCTAACTTGGGGTCGCTGCTGGCAAGCTCCTCCAGCAAAATCTAAGAGTAGGACAGGAGAGAAAAGGGAACAGGAGATCAGGGCGAGCCGAGAGGCAGCCGCTCCCAGGGGCAACCGCCGGAGACGGAGCCCCCACAAGACAGTGGGGGAGCAGGTGGTAACCGTGTCTTCCCTTCACATGCTGACTGCCTAAAGACACAAACTGCAGGCGCAGGAGAAAACCCGAACCAGGGCAGCCCCACCAGGACGGTGCGCTCACCTGTGTGCCAGCCCCAGCATGCACCGCGCTGCCATCGGCACCTGCGCTCACAAACACAACTTGCAGACCAAAGTTCCTTGTCACACAACTTTATACATGACAGGGGGGGCTTTGCATCACTCCTCTACTTTTCTGTATCTGTGCAGATGGCAGCGAAGTGGCCAGAAAGAGAGTGGCTAATACTGAGTTAATAAGATGAACAGCAGTTTTCATGTGTCGATTCCGCTGGTGGATCTGGTCTTCCAACGCTGATTACAGAAATCTCAATCTCTAATTTCTCCCTCTGCACACACACGCGCACACACGCACAGTTACCTGCCTTTATTCCCATAACTGGGGCAGGAACTATCTTAGGAACAGTAATTCTCCTGGCTTTAATCAATCTAGTGTGAATGGCTTCAGAAACAATGTTACAGTAAGAAACTGCCACTTAAGTGAATCAAGCTGGTTGAGTGTTAATTTGAAACAAATCTTTTGTTTTAGAGAGAAATAAATTTCTGAAGCCCAAACCCTTTACAAAAATGAAACCCTTCTGACTCTGACCTCATCTCTACAGCAACAGCAATAGCAAGAGAACACCAGCCCAGAAAACAAGGCAAACTTCCTTTCTGCTGGCCTGAGGTGTGCCGAGGGTATTAACTGTTTCGGTGGAAACAAAACTTTGATCCTGGACAGGCTGATACGCCTGGGCCACCACTAGTCATCAATTCTGGGGCCTCAGCCCCGACCAGGACGTTTGGAAGCGGCAGCTCCCTATCAAGTGCTGTCATCTCTTTACCCTAAGGATCCCGCCCCAAATCCCAGAGTTGGGGGGTTACAGAACAAACCTTTAATTCGTACTCCAAAGCTCCTCCACGAAGATGCCCTTGCCAAGTCTCCAGATGCTTCTCACCCTCCCCCAAACCGATTTCATTTGCAGCCGTTTTATTTACTCCAAGTTGCCATGGCATCCTATTCTGGAGCCTCCTGCTAGCACTGCACTGCGTAGGGGTGAAGAGGCGGTGCGGTGCCACGTGGGACAGGGCTCTGGGACAGGCTCCTAACCTCCCCGGGGTGAAAAATCCAGGTCCATTCAAAATGTGCGCTGGGAGCACGGCGCTCCCTTCCCCCACTGCTCACTGGCGAGGAGCTGGCTCTGCCCATTTCCTCTGCCCGAGAGAAACGGGCTGTCCACAAACAGGGACTTTCCACTTTCAGCAAAACAGACCGCACAGAAAGATCCACGATTGTCTAAGAGTAGAAAAGGAAGCTAACAGTCGACCAAAAGCAATGTGATTCTACCTACTAGATCTTTGCAGGGGTGACAGGGAAGGGTCGGTGGAGAAATTGTCTGCATGGGGGCAGGGGGCAGCTGTTCCCACGTACAGGGGTCTGTGTGGGTGTGGAGGGAAATGCAGATTCCCTTCCAAGCCTTATTTTGCTGGGGCCATACAACCAAGCACGCCCTGCCTTCATCAAAAAAGGCAGACTCCAGCTGGGGCCCTTCAAGAAACCATATAAAGAAGCCACCACCCTTCACCAGCGGGGGTTTGGGACAGGAGCGGGGGTGGAGTGCGGAAAGGCTGACGCCTATCCAGGCTCCCATCGGAGAACATTCAAACACGAGCCCACACCCCACACATCACAGGAAGGGGAAGAGACCGGGCGGCAGCGGACTGGCCGGAGAAGGGGAAGAATTCCCCAAAACTAGGCGACCCAATTCAAAAGCACACCCCACCCGGTGAGGGCATTAAGTGACCTAAGCATTGTCCTGGGCTGGCCCGGGGCAACCCCACTGCCTCAGGTGAGACAAAGTCCCTCCAGGCACACAGACCCCAAGCAGAAAGCCTTTGCCTGTTTGCCTCGCCGCCGCCCGCCTGACCTTGTGTTCCTGGTCGTTCTGGAGCTGCCGAGGCTCTTGGCTGAAGTTTCCCCAGCGTCTTTGTTTTGTTTTCTGTATTGGAAGTTGGACTGAAGGAGTTGGGTTTTCAGCCGCTAGGAAAATCCCGATGTACTTAAAAATGCTGGAATCCCCCAGAGTACATCGGGCAGGGCCGTCGGGCCGGAGCCCTTCCGGCTACCCGGAGGGAGCAGCGTGCAGGGCTGAGCTCCTTCTCGAGCCTTCAGCTCAGCCGCGGCTTCCTGTGCCTGCGAACAATGCTGCTGCGTCACCCACATGCAGCTCCCAGAAATGCTTTGCAACGGAAGATGGCAGGAGGGGGAGCGCAGCTCGAGTGAGCGAGCCAGGCAGAGGGCCCAGCCGTCCTGCTGCAGTCGGAGGGGAGGAGGCGGCGCGCCGCGGGCGCCGGCGCGGCGATTGGAGGAGAGCCTGCCTGCCGGGCGAGGCCGCCGCCCCCGCCCTCCCACCGCTGCAACCCGAGAGCCGGCGGCCCCGGCTCCCGCTGGCCGCCGCGGAAGGCGCCAGGCCGAGGGCGAGCTTTAACCCGTTCGGCCTCTGGTCTGGCGTTTGTCCTTGTCTCCGTCCACACCCTTCCCCTCAGGGTCACCTCATTGTTACCGCGGGCACGCTCTGGCTGGCTGCGCCCCACTATTCTCCCCAGCTTCCAGGCAGACAGCGAGTTGCCCGAAGTTCCACCTCGGTGGGTGAGCCAAGCACCCCACCCCACCCCACCCCGCCTGAGTTACCTTCTCCCCAGTCCCGGCGGCTTCACCTGCCCTCACTGCTGTTCTCCAACCCGGAATCCAGAACCAGAAAAACCAGGTTCCCAGAAAAACCCTCAGGAGTGACACACTTCAACCAGTAACTGAGCTCTTGGATACAAGATGTCTGTTTAATATCAACCACTTCCACAACAGATGCCTGCCTCTGGTTATGACCGCAGCTCCTCACCCAGGAAGCGCTTTCCACAAACCCACCCGGGCCCAGCCTGGCCCAGCCACACCAGCCAGCCTGGGCCTGGGGAGCAGGTACAGGGAGCCCCACACTCCCACCTGCCAACCCCATACCAGCTGTTGGGGGCCTGCATGAGGGCAAGGCCCGGACTCTGCCCCCAAGTTACCCCACCTCCAGGACACCACTCCTGCTCTTCCTGTTCCCTTCAGTGTTCTGCCTGCCTCCTTGATAGTCCCCAGACCAGCAGTCAGCCCTGCGTCCCATCAGACACACCTCCACGCACTCAGAGAAGTCAAGTGTCACCCAGTCTGTGCATTGACCCAAGGCCGAAGTGAAGCTCAGAATGAACCACCACACTCTTGGGCCACAGCGTGTTGTATTTTGTGTCTGAATGTATGCAGTATTTTGACTCACATAAATGTAACTTGGCTTTCTGGGAAATTACAGATGCTGTTCTGACACTGATACCTCAGGCCACTAAGACACTAGCTCTAGCCACTGGCGATAGCATTCCATAATTCGTGATTTCCAGCACAACTGTCTCCAAGAGTTTTTATGCACATAGTCAATGGCCTAACAGGCCTTCTGGGCCCTGGGGCTTTGCTGTGGGGGCTGCAAAGCAGCAAACTATTTTACAGTAGTTTACCAAGGAAAAAGAGAGACGTCCCTGCTCTCTGGCGGACTGGTGTCCTATGGTCCTCCTGAGTACACTGTATGGGGAGACTCAAAGACCCAGTGCAAACAGCTCATTGTGTTTGAAACTCCCCTTAGTAGTGTGAGAGGGCTTGGAAAATACTTATTTTGATCTTAATGCTATCTAACCGAGAGAGATGGTTAAGTGTACAAATACTTAAGAGAACAATGATGTTATTCCAGATAAAGTTCAAGTTGTAGCGAGTATAAATTCTAAAGGCCACTAGGAAAGTCTAAAAACCTGATAGGTCATTAGGGAATCACTCCAAATTATAAATTAAACAAGGCCTAAGTTTTTATCTATATATTTGGATTATAAACCAGGCAACAAAGATTATTAAGACTATGACATTATGTAAGAATACAATAAAAACTTTAAAAAGAACTATGTCTACTTCAACCTAACCTCCTAACAGCACAGCTGATCAGTTCTGCTGGCCCAGGGCCCAGTCCCCCACAGTCCCCGGTGGCCCTGTCCACCAGGGCACAGCCCCCTCTCAGGCCCAAAGGCCTGCTCCACTCCCGCTGGGCTGTTAGCCCCTTGGGGGTTTGGGAGACAGCATGTCTGTATTTTGCCCAACACCCAGCCTGGTTCCAGGCACAGAGCCCAGCAGGGATTATTCAAGCATCGGAATAAATGAATTTCACACAACTGTGGCATCTGCTTTTTTTTCTGTGATCATGATATTGATTCTTGCTATTACTAATTTTCACCACAACCCCAATTATTACTTTATGTAAGAGAAAACCCAACTAATTTGCCAACCGTACCATAATCTTTTCGAGAATAAGGGAAAGTGGAAAATACTCAACACTGAATGTTTCATTAAGGAGCTGGGCAGCCAAATATGTCAATATATTGAAAGTGTCTTTTTATATTTGTACATCTATGACGAGTTCCTTTATTACCCAAACAGACACAAACAAAACAGTAAGCCTGGCCCAGGCCCTGGCTGGGACGGGACAGCAACAGCTGTGGCCCTTGCCCTGCTGCGCACACCCTTCCCAGCTTAGTGTCCCGCCTCTGCTAAGGACAGGCCTTCTTGATTTTAGAAATGCGAGAAAATCTCAGAGGAGAAAGCTCCATTCTACCATCCGTGCATTTCTAGGAGTCAAGGTCACCCACACCTGCCCTTTCTACACACTGATTACCATGTCGAACTCTGCCAGCACTTCGTAAAGCCCCTTCTTTCATCAAAGCATGTCCCAACTCTCAAGTCTATGATTCTTTCTTCAACATTTCGGAACTTAACAGAAGCGTCTTCAAAAGCCCAGTTACCGTATCACCAAAACTGACTGCTCTTCCAGGGAATACGTCATGACGTCAGGACGGGTCTAGCTCTAGCTGTCTCTCATCTCGTGGGTGTGGTTCCTCTCAACTCTTCTGGTAAGTCGGGAAAGTCTCCGGGTCATGACAGAGACAACTCCTCTCTGCGGGAAGGGCTGCTCTTGTCCTCCACTGCAGTGTCTCTCTGCTACACGCAAAGTTCTCCAGCACTGCAGTCTCCAGCTGTGCAGTGATTCGGCACCTAACCAGGTTGATGCTTTCTCTCCTTGGGTGATGCTCAGATTTTTATCATATGCAAGTTCTAAACTGTTTTGTGAATCTCAGAGTAAACAAAGGGTTATACTAGGAATAATTAATCACTTGATCTTAAGTGAAACTACCTGCAGAGTGGGGGTTTCTGTTGTCTTTTCCAAGAGTTGCACTGACTGGAACCAGGGGAAAGAGAAGGTGTGAGGCCACCTCTACAGGGAGATGTCCAACACTGTGGGCCCAGGCAGTCACCCCTGGCCACTCAGCCCTAGCGTTCTGGCCACTCTCTCTGAACCTGGATGGCAGTCATGTTTTATTTATTTATTTATTATTTTTTTTATGATGCCTGGAAAACAAAAGGAAGCTTCCCTCTAGACATTTTTCATAATACTAAGAATTCTCTTTTTAGGGATCTCTTTTTAGTCCATTCTCCTCCTTGCTGTCTCCTTTTATTCTGCTTAATATTTGATCCAAACCTTTCACATTCCTCCCCAATATGCCACTACACCAACTGTCTCTCTTCAAATATGCGTATTTAGCTACTTCAGTGAAGGGAGTCAGTATATTTTTATCATGAAACTTGACTGTGCACAACTGATCAGTGGATTATAAAACAGCTTCCTACAACTGGTTAAGGTGTATTTACAGGCACCGAAGACTGAAAAGGTATTTTTCTCTTTCATGAATACAGATACCCAGGAACAACAAAATGTTAGTGAGATAGGAACTCAGAAGCCTCTCTTTTCAGGGTTCCCAAAGGCAATTAAGAAAGTTAATAAGTCTCAAAAGTCACAATTTAATGTTTCCCACATGTATTCATGATGGAATAGCTCTAGAACCTTCTATAGAATAAAAAGGATGTTCTCAAACTCTCAGGACCACACATTCACATAGGCCTCATCAGAATGGAAAAGGGAAAAAAAATAATGTCATTTGCTTATTCAAGGGCATCTGGCCTGCAAGTATAGAGAGGCTAAGTTTATTTGCTGCACATTAATCATTGTAGAAAGAGGACCACACCTACCTGGAACTTTGTCATCTCCTCACCTAAATATAAGCTGCATGGATACCACCTGCCGCTTTTAGAGCAAACCTTACAGAACCAAACAGTAAAACTCACCATCCTGCCTGTTACTACTGGCCTTCTCCTTGCAGTCTCACCAGGTTACCACCCATCCCTTTTTATTCTCTTTAGTATTTTACCTTTTCAGTAATACGTAAATAGTAAGATACGATTTCAAATGTCAACCTTAAAAAGAGAGCCACCATGTTTCCATCCAACCCCATCTTTGGAATTCTTTCCTGAGGGGGCTTGCAGAAGGCACGAACACCTCAGCTGATTATATTCAAGAAAAAACATGAATCAGAAATCAGGCACAGAACAGGCTACTCCTATATGAGGCATTTAGGCCACCCTCTGTAAAATTATTTCCTGTATTCTACAGTGTGAAGTAATCCGATAAAAATAACATGTATTATGAATTGTGAGCTAGCTTTCTAATACACATCTTAAGTCCTGCACCCAAGCCAGGTATCTAACATGGATCTTAAAAGAAAAAAAAATCCGTAATTTACATTTTTTTGGTGCTCACATTAATGGTTTACTTTTGAGGAAAGACTCATCACTCCCTCCAATTCAGACTACTCAAACCTGGATTCCTAGGGGGGAAAAAAGCTTATTTCTTTGAGATCAATACACGAGGATTAGCTAAGCCTTGGAAATTACTGATGCCAGGAGACTCTCAAAGAGAAGAAAATATATGATTTGGAAAAATGTGACACTATTCTCAGAAGTTGCCCTGATGTCTTCCAGATAAATCTGAAACATGCTAACTCTACTCAACATAACCCCACATTGAACATTTTCTTTCGTGTCAATCTCGTTGGGATGAGGTAACTAGAGACTTATTAGCCACTTCTGTTCCAAAATAGGGCTCTTTATCTGAAGGTAAAACCTAAATTTAAAATAGTATTTCTTAATCGCGAACATCTTTTCAGGTTCTCCTTTATTTTCAGGGTCAGCCAGAAATCTGTGTCTTTAGAACTAAACTTAAGTTCCAAGCAAACATACGTTAGTATTCTCATAAAGGGCTCTAACCTCTCCATCTGAAATACCGCAGCCCCAAAACACTTCACATGTCAACTTCTCCCTGACAGAACCAGAGTTCATTCCTTCTTGAAACCCAAAAGCGGCCTGCCCTGGCCACAAGGCGGCATCACACAGCATTACCAAACCTTACCTTCACATCAGCAATGAGGGCGTCTTCATCTTCTATCCCTGTGGGGACACATTTCTTGTGCAGTGGCAGAGACTCCAACTTATCTACAAGGCAGCGAAGGCCTTCAAGCTCAAAATGGGTCAGATGCACCTGCCTGTCCTTTCGGGGGGTACAATGTGGCTCCCACACCTGGCCATTGTGGGAGCCCCGGCTAGAGTCAGAGGATGAGTCCCCAGACAAGGTTTTCTTCAGGCTTGGAAGACTTCGGCAAGTTTTGCCCAGTCCATCATAATCCAGGCTGACTCCGTTGGCGATAGGGCTGGTGAGGACGGAACGCTTACTGCCCAAGCGCCGGGGTTCTCGGTCCACGGCCTCCTCATCCCCATTTCCAGACTCCAACCCATTTAACTCCAAATCTGCCAGTATGAAGAAAAAATGCAGTGAGACTGTATTATTTGGTCACGAGCTCAAGGAGAGAAACTGGCATCATGGACAGGAGCCTTGAAGTTATAAATGATGAAGCTGTCATGTTTTGTAATGGCCTCTCCTTATTCCAACCCATTTGTCCATTGTTGAAAACCTTATTTACGGCAAAATCATGGTCTTGATGTAGGACAACTGCAGCAATGGTCATCTGGATTTTCAACAAGACTGGGAAAGGCTTAGTCTTTAAACTGTGTGCTAAAATAAATTACCTATGAAGATAGCTGTAAAGTAGCTTTAAGTAAAACTTTAAACATGGGGTTGTTTCATTATATTCTAAAAGAATACACTGTATATTTCATTATATTCTAAAAGAATACACATATATTTAAAATGCTGATGCATCACATGTAATTCTGCATCTTGCCTCCATATATCGGATGAACAATTTCATTTTCAAATGAAGATATAAACTATTATCTGTGGAAAGTGCTAAAATAAAGAAAAATGCTTTTGGCTTGCAGTTACCATGAAACATGTGCCCCCAGGACAATATAATGTTGGCTCCCCTCCACCTCAGCACATGGAACACCTTAAAAATGTGTAAATGAAACTGTTCTGCCATTCAATAAAAATTTTTCTCTTGACAGAAGTTATGGATATATAAAAGTGTAGAGGTTAAGGATACAGCCATTAAAGTCTTACCAACCTAATTGGAGCTGTGCTTTCTCATTTGTTAACTGTAAGACCATAAGACAAGTTTTTACATCTCCTTGAGCCTTAATATTTCCATTTGTAAAATGAGCGTTATAATACCTGAACCTCAGAGGCAATGTGTAAACTGCTTAGCACACTGCCTGGAATATACTAAGAGTTGTTATCATGATGGTACATTCCCAGCTTTTATTGAGTCAAAGAGCATCTTTGTACAATAATGCATATTTGACAACAGATTATCTCTTCTGAGGAGCTGAGTATTAACAACTCAGACAAAGATCAGATCTTGAGACCAGATCTCTCTGCTCCCTAAAGGTAGAAGGTTCTACTTTCAGGTAGTGGGACCTGTACTTCATTTAGTCTACTAGATCACATCTGGGGAGATCAGTGTTAACTAGTGTTTTACTCCAGTGAATGAATCTGGTATTTCCAGGTAGATGAGTAAAAAGTCAAAAAATAAAAACAAAGCTACTGAGCAACAGCCTGCTGACAGGTCTGCAGAGCCTTGAGAGCCCACACAGACTAACACTTACCCATGCTGAGGGACTCTTTCTGAAACTCCTTGGTTAGGTGGGAGCGGTTGGTTATGCAGTACACATAGCGCTCCAAGACGTACCAACACATCTCATAATAGAAGGGGTAGCGGAACTTATTTGGAACCTGTATCGGAACAGAGTGAGAAAGGCAAGCTAGTGGTTTTCAAGGGGAAGAAATTAAGACAAACTCAATCACTGCAATAACTAACCCCAGGCAAATTCTAAGTCAACCTGCAAACCCAGGCTGGCATTTGGGGCAAGATTTTGAGGATCTGTCAACCTAGAAAATGTTGTTCTGGCCCTCCCTGGTGGTACAACAGGTTAAAAGTGTGGCACTGCAAGCTGGCTGCAGCTGTTTCAGTGTGAGTTCGATCCCCAGCCCTGGAGGTTATTACATGGTGGCAGACCTCTCCTGTCTCCCCGCTGCTCCCCACAGCAGTGTACTTTGTCCATCTGCCTGCTCTGCTCCCCACTCTGTCCCTGGTGAGTCCTCTCACCGCCCCTGCACCTCTGGCCTGTACTCCAGTTCTGTATGCACCAATAAATCTTTCAAAAAAAAAAGAAAATGTTGGTTTTAGGAAACAATCACGAAAGATGAAAGGTACTTGGAAAATTGTTCAGAACCATCAAGAAACTGTCTTGGTTAAGTGGGAAAGCATCAAAGAAGTGTTGGGAAAGAGAGTAAAATGTTAAGAGTAAAACACATTATATTCCAGTGAGAAAATTGTTTCAGAGTTCTTAGAACACAAAAGCCATGTATGCCATGTGCTCTTGCCTTTACGCAGCTTTACCCTGTGTCAGAAAACCATGGAACAAAGATTCAAATGGGCAACAAAAAGAAGTAAGATGACTGTATGTTTTATTATGTCCTTACATATATGAAATTACTGTGTTTATGTACGCAGGGAACTAATGAAACCTTTTTCTTTTAAAAGATTGATTTTATTTGTAGGGGTGGAATGGGGAATGGGATCAAAAACGGGGTGGAGGGGAGGGAAGTGCATGGGACTATGGTGATGGCACACAGGTAGGACTCGGTGATGGGAAACCCATGGGGATTACAATTGAGATGAAAAAAAAAAAGTACAAAATAATGTAAAAATAAACTATTATATTAAAAAAAAAGATCTATCTTATTTATTTATGCATACAAGAGCTGGGGGGGTAGGTCACCAAATTCACCAGAGACAAGAGTGGGGAGCAACAGAGAGACAGGAGAGGTCTGCTCTGTCCTGTGGCTCACTCCCTGGCCAGGGCCTTCCCTCGTGGTACAAGGGGCTAAGAAGCTATAGCAGCCACCTTGGCATGAGTTTGATCCCCGGCCGGGGAGCTGACCCACAGGGTGCAGGAGACCTCTCCTGACCCCACTCGCTGCTCCCCTCAGCAGTGTATTTCAGTCAATCTGCCTGCTCTGCTCCCCACTCTGTCTCTGGTGAATCCTCTCACCCCCCCCCCCCAACAACTCTGGCCTCTACCCCAGTTCTGTATGTATAAATAAGTAAATCTTTAAAAAAAAAAAAAAATCAAGTCTTTGTAACTCCAATAATACAACCTTGTGTTTGAGATAACAGGTAACTCTGAAAATGTTTCCAAACAGGCACTGTAATGGCCAACTGACCATGTACAGAGTAAACAGGTCAGTGATCATTCCTTGTACTCTGCAAATTCTATTTGCTAATTTCTAATTTTGCAAACATGCATATTGAAAATGTCTATGTTATCCAATATTCACCAAATGCTAACATTTCCTCATGTTTGCTAGAATCAATTCATAAACTCACTATTACTTTGCTGAACTACATGACAGTAAGTTGTGAGTATGAGGACCAGTAAATAATACTCTACAAATACTGTAATGCCAATACAATTTATATTTTAGATATATATAATTCAACCATTACCCACTGGGGTTCTGGTAAAGAAGTAAGCCCTATTTCTCTAGGGCAAGGGAGGCCAACAAATGGCACTTAGTGGACTGGGTTTGCTGCCTGTTTTTGAGGGCTCTTTGAGCTGAATATTTTTTATAGAGTTTTAAATGGCTGGAAAAGAGAGCATTTTATAACACAAGAATTGCGTGATATTCAAACTTCAGTGTCCGTAAAGGAAAAGTCTGCTTTATTGGAAGCATGCTGGTTTAACTATTTCAAACTACAAGGCTTAGTTAAATACTTGCATGGTCCACAAGGTGCAAATATTTACCCTCTGGTTCTTTACAGAAGTTTGTAAACTCTTCCCTTAAGATATCGACAGCATGATGGGAATCTAAACTAGTACAACCACTATGGAAAACTGTTTGGAGGTTTCTCAAAATGCTAAAAATAGAGCTTCCATATGACTCAGCCATCCCACTCCTAGGTATCTACCCAAAAGACACAAAAACACTGATTCAAAAAAGACACCATGTTTACTGCTGCTTTATTTACAATTGGAAAGACATAGAAACAGCCCAAATGCCCAAAAGTAGATGACTAGATTAAAAAGATGTGGTACATATATACAACAGAATATTATTCAGCAATCAAAAGTGATAAACTCATGTCTTTTTGCAACAACATGGATGGAGCTGGAAGGGATCATGCTTAGTGAAATAATATAGAAAGAAAAAGAAAAATACTGGATGGTTTCACTCATAGCAGGAGTATAAAGTGCCAGGGGAGAAAATAATAATAATAATAATAATAATGAACAACTATATACCAGAGACATTTTTACGGGGGTGGACTGGGGAATGGAATAAAAAATGGTGGGGGGAGGGAAATGCACTGAATTATGGTGATGGCACACGGCTGATTTGGTGATGGGAAGCCCATGGGGATTACAAATGAGATGGAAAAAGACATAAAATGATGTAAAAATAAATATATTATTTTTAAAAAAAGTTATCAAGAGCATATAGTGAAATAACATTTTCCCTATACGTCTGGAGAGGTTATCAGCTCGAAAACTAGGAAAATAAGACACACAATTCACTGTCTACAAGGCTTAACTGTCTTTCCAGAACCCCTTTTGAGAAAGGCAAGATATGTGAATTTAAAGCTGTGAATTTTGAGTTGATAAACTGCATCACATCAAATTGTTCTAGGACATAAAACTGAAAAACAGAGCTCAACAGATTAGCAGATATCTATCTCATGCTCTATGAAAACCCAAGGAGACACCAAACACCTCCAAGTATTGGGAATCCCCAAAACCAAGCATACTGATTTTGTTAAAACGTTTTTCTCATTGTTCCCCAAATATGAATTTTAACCCAAAGAAAAACTGGTTTTGAGACAAAATTTCTTGTACTGTCTGACTTAAGTGGACTAAGCCTCTTTACAGCCACATGTTAAATACAAATACTTACCCGTGTCCGATCTTCAATGTTGTATATTCTTAACTGCATGGGAATATTGAAGCTATGCAGGAAGTTGCCTCCAAACACTAATGTGTCTGTAGGAGTGTACACAGCGTGGATCCAGCCTGGAGGAAGGGAGTGGAGAGCAGAGGCTGTAAACGCACACGGTAACACTGCTCTCTCAGAAAACTTAGTGGGCTCCGAAGATCCTATTTTTACAAATTCTGCCTCTAGATGACTGATCAAGATACTTAATCTCTTGAAGCTTCAATGTACTTTATAAAATCAAGATAAACTATATGGTGTTGGGTAAGCTTTCAGTGGTGAGAAAATGGAGGTGAAATGCTTAGCATATAACTAATTTTTCATAAATTCTATTTGTTGGAGCAATGAATAGAATCCAGGTATAGCACAGTGTATTCTCACTTACTCCTCACAATAAATGAAACTCAATGGAATTTAAACATCTGACTAACAGAGCCCTAGATAAATACAGACTCAGAACTCTATTACAGGTCTGTGATTACAAAGTCTAAGCTAGTAATTTGGTCAAAAACATGGGTGATTTAACACTCTGGCCCTCACAGCCATCCCCTAGAAGAACAAGTGTTCTAGGCTTTGTACCTATGGCTCAGCAGTCTTCACCCCTAGAGTCTGAGTATCTGGTGCTAATACGGAACCCAGACATGTAGGTCTGAAAAGTCTCACTGGCAACTCAGAGACGGACTTTCAGTGGGAAAACTACCTTTATTATTATTACTACCTTTATTATTATTACTATTATGACTCTTATTTTTAAAGGATTTATTAATTTCTGCATATAAAAATGGGGGGCACAGGTCAGCAGTGCACAGGGAGAAGGGGAGGGAGTGAGAGACAGAGTGGAAAACAGAACAGGTGGACTGACTAAAATCCACTGCTGAGGGGAGCAGCAGGCAAGATTGGAGAGGTGTGCTGCACCCGGTGGGTCACCTCCTTGGCTAGGGACCAAACTCATGCTTCTGTGGCTGCAGATAGCTTCATTATGCTGCACTTTAACCCCCTGCGCCACCAGGAAGGGCCCCTTCATTATTTTTTTTTTTAAAGATTTATTTATTTATTCATACAGAACTGGGGTACAGGCCAGAGATGTGGAGGGTGATAGGATTCACCAGAGACAGAATGGGGAGCAGAACAGGCAGATGATCAAAGTACACTGCTGAGGGGAGCAGTGGGCGGGCCAGGAGAGGTCTGCCTCGCCATGTGGTCACCTCCGGGGCAGGTGGGAATCGAACTCATGTGGAAGTGACTTTAGCTTCTCAGTGCAGTGCTTTAACCCGCTGCACCACCAGGGAGGGCCCGCCTTCATTATTTTTTAAAATAAATTATCGTCATCTATTCCATAATAAAAGGAAAGCTAGCTAATGTGCTCTGTCTACCCCAGCACCAAGGCCAATCCTGGTGGCAAACCATCCACTCTTTTAAGAAGGAAAAAACAAAGCCAGCCAGTCCACTTTCCCCCACCTTGCTTACCTGAGGGAATGACGAAGGTATAGCCCTGCTTGAGCTCAATGCGCTGGCAATCTGACACCCGGTCACCCAGAAAGATGTCTCCCTGTTTCCCTGACAGCAGCCAATTCTCGTACAGCTCCAGGTTGTGGGCTGTAGGGGGGATGAGCCAGAAGACCTGTGAGTTAAAAAACTTGAGTCTGTTAACAGCCATTGACATGACCCAGTCGTCTCCCTCAACTGATCAGCTGGTACAGAGTGAAGACCCACAGGCAGCTGCGAGGCAGGCAGTTCTCCCAGCCTACAGAGCTTGGCCAGCAGAGAAATGCTACAGAAGCAGAACTTTTTGTCTTCCCCTTGATCCAGGAGCGTTTGGGCTTCCCTGTGGTTTGACTACAGAACCCAGAATCCAACAAGACCAAAAGGGGTGATGTGGCTTGTTACGGAGTGAGCCCCTTATTCGCTGGGCTCTGTAATTTTAAGAAGTACAATGAGGGATAATATCCTCAAGAGACAGGCCTGGGTTGTTTTATTCCTAGTGATCAAGGCCAAAAGGATGAAACTTAAGATACCACTTACATGATTTAGATTTGGAGTAGAGCTGCTCTTGATCAGGGCCAGATTTTAAAAGCAAGTTTTCATTCTAGTCCTATACTTTCCTCTCAAAAAGACACCTACCTTTAGTATGGGAAGACAAGGGTAATAAGAATATAATACTGATGTTAATTCTGATTTTAATGTTAATTCTAGATTTAATTCTAGACTTCTGATGTTAATTCTAGATTTCTCAACATTCTGGTAAGCTATAACACAATTTATCAACAATATTCCAAATTTACATCCTCAGAGAGCATGTAAAGTCTTTCTGTGGCTGCATTTCAGACCAATGCCTCCACACAGGGAAAACCACACAGGTTTGGGTTTGGGAACAAATTTACTGATTTAATTGTGACCTATCAAAATTTGTGTTTCCTTCTACTTTATTATACTATCCATGTGAAGAAATTACTTGGTCCTCTTAAAACCATTTTCTTGTTTTCATTTGGAAAATTCTGCTTGGGAATCTAGAAAGAGGTCTATTGAGGTTTCCTAAGTATCACACAAATACTGGTGTACTAACAGTGGACTAGATGGCCTAGAATTAGTAGGCCTATACTAACTCCTAATTCTAGCCAAGAAGGGAACGGTCTCTCCAAATATGAGTAGGGATAATCTCCTAGTCAATTCATTTCCAGGGTCTATGATTAAGCATGCATGAACTGAAGCAAACCGCTCCAGACTCCAACCCCACTGTAACTATGACCATACCTTTCCCCCTTGATGGATATGATACCAAACAGAGGTACCACCAAAGTCCACATGGAAGTCAGTATAGCAGCCTCGGACACTCATTAGACAGTACCTGGCCCCAAAAAAGAAGTAGTGTTAGTGCACTGACAAGAAAAAGACATGTCCCATGAGATGCCACACTCTGCCCTTGTGTACACCCCCCACCCCCATCCTGCCCCATCAATTCGCAGTTAGTGAGAAGAATGAAATTTCAAGACATAATACCTTACCATAAGCCCTGCACCTGCCCTTTAACAATGTGACCACGGGCTAAGGGACAGTCATACTGCTCTTCCTTTGGAATTATGAAGGCTACTCTTTAAATAATGCCTTTTATTTTAAAGCATTTAAGACATGCTCTGAGGCTCCCAAGGGAGGAATTAATTGTTCATCGTTAGCACTTTGGTCTCTGGCACAGGCCAGTCACTTACTTCTGCACTTTGGGGTACTGCATCTCCAAGATGGCATTGGTTGATTCAGTCTGACTTTCTTTTAAATGCCTTGGCCACATATTGTCAACCCAGTCAATGAAATCCACCTTTAAAAAAGAGGAGGAAACACTTAGGCTTTAAAAGAAGGGTTGGCATTTAAGAAAACTTTAAAGCGAAGAAAAACAGAATTTCTCAAAATACACACTGAAAGTCTCCAACTTAACGAAAACAATCTGCTGGTGAATCTTGCTCAACGAGAATGAAGATGGACGGTTCCATGACCATGGTTACAGACAGAAGTAACAACGTCCCCCACGATGGAGCAGTACCCAACCCAACCCGCTCCCTCCTGTCAGTTCTCAGACCACCAGCCCTAGCGGCGGGGGCATAACAGCAAGCACTGCTGGGAGACACCTGTAAACATACCAAGAGACGCACCATGCTCTCGGAAGAGCTCAAATACAGAGGGGAGGGAGAGAAGGAAGAAAGAAAGAATTAAAGGCAGAAAGACAGAACATGAAGAAAGAAATCTAGTAGTATTTGAGACCTGCACAAGCAATGTGCTACAGGGTCTAAGTGAGGAATCAGAAGCTCCAGGCCTGTCACATTTTGTTACGATCACAGGCAAGGCTCAAAGGACCACTGTGAGGATTACATGTAAATCCTGTTCAAGTTTTCTGAAATAATGTTGCCAGAAAATAATACGCTAAAGAAATGAGAAGTGAAAGCAGTATGACCTTATTTGAATACTGCACACTGAACGGTAACCTATCTTGTACCTGCAAAGATCTGTACTCAACCACTGAACGCCAAGAGGTAAGTTGCAGGTTGATAAAGTGTAAGCCAGACAACCATGAGTCTCGCTCACACTTATGTTCCAAGTATCTAACTTAAAAGCTTTATCACAACATCCGTATATGTGATCATTTGTTCCCCACACAGTATACGTATCTAGACAAACACGGACAACCCGTGCACGATTATACGAGCCAGAGATCTGGTGGACACCCAGCTGTGGAGCGGAATTCAGAAGGGGTCACAAGGGACACGCAGGTTGAAATAAGCAAGACAGAGGGGCAACTTCAAAAGTGAATTTGCTAATCCAAGTCGCAGAATCTCTGTTCAGGGAGCCAACAGTTTTAGCCAAACGCGAACACTGAAAGAGCTCCAGATTAATTTCTTTTCATCAACAAAGTCTATGCTGTGTTCTCTTAAAGCGGTGACCAGCATCTCCTGTCTCTTGGTACTGTCATAAACAAACCTTTAACAACATAGCGAGTAGCTGTGTTTGCTCAATACAATGTAAGTCCTTATGTTTGGAGAGGGAGAAAAAGGGTCAGGAACACATTTTACCATTTAGAGAGAAACTAATTTCTCTGGCAGAATTACTCACCTGTAGTAACAAGTCATTCTTGTTGGTCTCCCTGTATTTGGCAGTAGGTATCATCCTATTACCAAAAGAATGGTGTGGCATGGTATACATTTCTTTTTAAGTTAATCTTTAGGTTAAAGGCCTTCGTAGGCCTTTTTCAAACTGTCTTGATGTCCCTAAGGAAGGAGGCATCAGTTTTTACCTGCTGTGCACAAATAGCTGGGCCCAGCTGGCAGTAAGTCCAGTACCCAGGGCCTCATCTCTTCACTCACTGCGCAGCTCATGGCCTTCCGTCAATTAATTTCCCCATTCTCAAGCAAACACTCATAATGTATCATTTGCTTTTTATTTTTTAACTTATTGATGCACACAAGAAACTGCGATGTAGGCCAGAGGTGTGGGGATGGTGGTTGTAAAAGGATTCACTAGAGACAGAGTGGGGAGCAGAACAGGCGGATCTACTGAAACACACTGCTGAGGGGAACAGCAGGGAGACAGGAGGGGTCTGCTGTGCCACAGGGGTCACTCCCTGGCTGGGGATTGAACTCATGCTGCAGTGATGCAGATTGCTACATAGTGATGAGACTTAACCCCTGCGCCACCAGGGAGGGCCCTTTGCTGTTTTAATCTACCTCTCAGTTACTGCTAGGATGACAACAATCAGTGAACTAGCTCTTCTCACCAGAGAACCTCACAATCTAGTAATTCTACTTACAGCTACATAAAGAAAATGAAAACAGGATTTTTGACAAGATACATGTGCTCTAATGTTTACTGCAGCATTATGCACACTTCTTAAGATGTGGAAACAATCCTAACTGCCCCGCAAGAGATGAGGTATAAAAGAGATCTCTCTCTCTCTCTCTCTCTCTCTCTCACACACACACACACACACACACACACACACAAGAACGACAAGAACCCAGAGTATACTGTGCTGAGGGAGATGAGTCACACAGAGCAAAGACAAGTACTATGTGCTTATCAGTTATATGAGGAAATGTGGAATTTGAAGGAAAAAATAATAAAAAACCTGGAAAAGCCAGAACAAAACAATGGTCTATCAGGTGATGGGGGAAGGGTGTGGATGGGAAGCTTAGATTGATGGTGTTTGCAATGGAATGTAACTCAGCTATTAACCAAGGCTGACTCTTGCCGCTTGCAACAACACGGATGGAACTAGCGGGGCTGATGCTGAGTGAGGTAAGTCAGGAGGACAAAGCTGAAGGGGGTCGCTTAGATGTGGAATAGAGGAATCAAGCAACGGGACATAAAGCCAAACTGCCAACAAACCCTTGAAATCTGACTGTAGGACTAAGGTGGGCCGGGAGGAGCAGCAGAGGGGAGGGAGCACAGTGGACCATGCTGGTGGACAATGGGTGCTTGGGTGGTAGGTGTGCTGTGGTGATAGCACCCAAGGGGGTGCTACAACACTGTACACCAGTGTTACCTCAATAATAATAAATAAAAAGGAGGATGGTGTTTAAGGGCACAAACTTGTCCTGAGTAGTAAGTAACTGGCAGAGAGCTAATGCATGCATCATGACACCCACAGCCGAGGCCATATACTATAAATACGCAATGTGATAAACAGTGCTACAATTACAGTCATTCCCATCAACATGTGCGTCAAAGTAACAAGCTTGTAACTCTCCTTAAACTTACACAATGTTACATGTCAAATGTATTCAAGTGAAGGGAGAGAGCTACCACTTCCTCTCCCTGCACCCTGCACCGCCTGTACCCATCCATTCCTACACTTAGTATTCCTTCAACCTGTCATCTTAGTTTTCCCTCTTTGCTTTATGATTTCCTCCATGACAAGTTTAAATATTATTTCTGCCAAAGACTTCCCAACTTCTCTTCTAGCTAAGGTTAGGTGAGTCCTTCCTATTGGTCCCAAAATACATTTTTATTCACTGGGGAAGCAATTACCATATTGTAGTTTACATAAAGGCCTCTTACACTGTCTTTCTTCTCCACAGAACACTAAGCATTTGAAGACAAGAATGATCTTATTTTTCATAGCACTTCTACTACCTACCACAGTGCTTACCATGTGGCAGGCTCTTGAATCAACACGTTAACTTTAAATTTTTAAAAAACTTTATTTATGTACACCAGAACTGAAGTACAGACCAGAGGTGCAGGGGGTGAGAGGATTCACCAGAGACAGAGTGGGGAGCAGAGCAGACAGCTTCACTGAAATACACTGCTAAAGGGAGCAAGCGGAGGGTTTAGGAGAGGTCTGCCACACCATGGGGGTCACACCCTCCCCCCCGCAGTGGCTGCAGACAGCTTCAAAGAGCTGCGCTTTTACCCTCTGCGCCACCAGGGAGGCCCCACATGTTAACTTTAAAGGTGTGACAATCACAGTGAACAAAAGATTACACCAATGACTACATCTGTCCAAAACTTATTGTAATGTATTTTAAATGTATTCACTTTATTGCATTATCAATGGTGCCCCAGTAAAGTTGTGGGGTTTCTTAAGCTGTATTACTGAAATACATTAGAAATGACTTAGATAAACCAAGGAACATATAGTGGGGAAAAAAACTTAGTGAATAAACGCTACTCCAGCAGACTGAACATGCTTCATTTACATAGCAAGGCCACATAAACCTTGTCTGCTTTCAATAGGTGACTTGGACTTTCTGATTATGTTTTAAGGACCTAACACATATTGGTGCACTGTGACCTCTGCCCTACAGAAAGTCCCCCATTTCTGAAAACTTTGATAGATTCTACTCCATTTAAAAGGACAATATTTCTTCTGATTTTTACAAATAATGTATCATTAAAACTAGAAACAGGAAAACTAAATTCAGAATGCTACAAAGAATGTTTCATGTGTGAATAACACATTTCCAAACTTTAAGAATGGAGAAGTATAATCCAGGTCAAGTTTTACTTTCATAATTACAACTACAGTATTTTTAAATTAAAATTCTAAAAGTACAAAAGTGCACGTCTATAAACAGTATTGTTAGGAGCCCTCTCTTACTGAGTAAGGAGGTCATGTTTGAGTAACAAGGCTAAATTCTAGCCACCTGTCTTCCTGTATTTTTATATGACAGAACAAATGATAATGTAAAAAAGGATTTTTGTTGATCTAGGTGGGGAAAGTTTTCTTAAGGAAGAATTCTGTTTTCAGTTGTTACATCTCTGAGATGCAATGACAAAAAATTAAAATGTTTCTACAGATAACACTGAAATACTACAAACATATTTTTTGGTTTGTACATATTAATGTGTCAGTGCTAACCATGCACCTCCGTGTGTGTGTGTGTGCGCTCCTATGTACACCCTATGCGTACACACAATAACATAAGCAACTCTTCCAATGCTGAATTTCAACTGAAAATTTAAATAGATACCCTGACTTAAAAAATGATCTAAGCATTCCAAATTCTGTCTTCCAGGTGGAAATTTGACCCAAATGAGTTCTGAGTCAGGAAGTAAATGAATAAAAATGTTTCAAATGATTATTATTAGCTGTAAACCAAAAGGGAAACCAGTTCTCCTCAGGGAAATGTGTTCTCAATATCCTATAGTATTTTGCCAAAGGATGGGTGCTATCAGTATCTACCTTCAAAAGGGCTGAGGAAAATCAAACTAACTTTGCCTTAAAACAGGTTGTCAATATAGCACCATCAGGCACTCAGCACATATAATCTACTCAAGAAATCATCTCATAAAATGATCGCCTGGCTCTAAAATCAGTTTTTCCCCAAGGGTTTCAGCAAGTGCAACATACAGGATAGAAATTTACAAAGTCACTACTTAAAGATTCTGTGAGAGTGATTTTTAAGACGCTTCTCCATTACATCCACAGGCCAATGTTCCTAAACTAAGCTGCTGATGATGAGAGCAGACGGCCCCTCCCTATCCTGACGAACCTTCTAAACACACAAGTAATTCTTATGAAATTGTCTTGTTCATCTTCATCTTGGTATATCCAAAAAGTTACACATTCTCCCGGTAAATAGCAATCTTCTCTGTGAAAACAGCAAGCGGAGCAAGTGACCACACTAACCGTAGAAGGCCTCTGCACCATGTTCTCCAGCCTGGTGTGGCTAAACTCCAGGCTGATAACATTATAGAGCTTTTCTCGTTCCTCCTCTGGGGTCTCATAGTAGCGAGTCCACTGAGCCATGGTCATTTCGATGCCTTTCTGGGTGTTCACATCCATGACATCCACCATGCGACGACTCCCTGCAATGAAGGATGCACCAATCATCTCAACTGAGTCACAAATACCCTTAACTATATTAAACATATCAAACGTAATCAGAAGGAAACAAACTATTCCTTTCTATTTGGGGTACTCAGTAAAACAAGAGCATTGTCAGGCGCTCCCTGGTGGCGTAGTGGGTTAAAGCACAGCACTAAGAAGCTAAAGCCACTTATGCATGAGTTCGATCCCCACCTGCCCTGGAGGTGACCACAAGGTCCGGCAGACCTCTCCTGATTGGCCTGCTACTTCCCTCAGCAGTGTACTTCGATGACCTGCCTGTTCTGCTCCCCACTGTCCCTGGTGAATCCTCTCACTACCCCTACACCTCTGGCCTGTACCCCATTTTTGTATGCACAGATAAATAAATCTTAAAAAAAAAAAAAAAGCACTGTCATTTGAGATGAATACACAACAGAAAATCAAATCAAAGGATGGAAAAGACAACAGGTAACATTAAACGCAACTGCCGCTCCTAGCAAAATGCCTACTTATGTGATCAGACATTGTATTTCAAGTTCAATATACTCAATGCTGACAATTATAAATGCTAAGTGCTAACCTCCACTTCAGAGCTGAGGAAATAGGTAACATGTGGGATAGGAACCCCGCTGTCCAGCTTTGGCCACTGCTCTCAAGCCACTGAGCTCTCTACTGGCCCGAAGACTCACTAAACCTACTCCACAATTTGAATGAAGGACGCACTATTCTGTGACTAGATGACATGTACATCCATCCATTTTTCCTTTAAATGCTTATTTCCCAAACCTGTCACGTATGTCTGGTATAAACCATCCTTTTTGTTCAGACCACAAATATCTACTGAATGATAAACCTCCCGTGATGAACACAGAGACTTGTATCAGACTCAATGATGCCAGCCACCACAACTGCAGGCAGCACCAAGCGTGGGGGCGACAGCTGTGGACTCAAAGGGGCCGAAGTTTAATTCTTAGTTCTAATACTAGGCGGGTCACCATGGTGATTTAGTCAGTGAAGTATAATGAGAAACAAAGGAGAGGCTTAATCAAACAGTAAAAAGGAAAGCACCATCTAATTTTGAAATAGGTTGACCAGAGAAGGCCTCTAGGATAAGAAGGGAAGAAACATTTGAATGGAGCCTTGAAGAATAAGCAGAATTTCAGGCCTTCCCTGGTGGTATAAAAGGTAAAGCACAGCACTATGTAGCTAGCTACAGCCCCTTCAGTGTGAGTTCGATCCCCAGCCAGGGAGAGACCCACAGGGCCCAGCAGACCCCTCCTGTCTCGCCCTCAGCAGTGTCTTTCAGCAGATCCACCTGTTTTGCTGCCCACTCTGTCTCTGGTAAATTCTCTCACCCCCCCACACCTCTATTCCATACCCCAGTTCTTGTGTGCATAAATAAAAAATTTTTTTTAAAAGATTTGTTTATTTGTGTATATAGAACTGGGGTACAGGCCAGAGGCTCAGGTGGGGTGAGAGGCTTCACCAGAGACAGAGCAGGGAGCAGAACAGGCAGATCGACGAAGTCCAGTGCTGAGAGGAGCAGTGGGCGGGTCAGGAGAGGTCTGCCGCGCCATGTGGTCACCTCCGGGGCAGGTGGGAATCGAACTCATGCGGAAGCAGCTTTTAGCTTCTCAGTGCTGTGCTTTAACCCACTGTGCCACCAGTGGGTTAAAAAAAAATTTTTTTTTTTAAATGAAATAAACAGAATTTCAACAAGGAAGATTCAACAGTGAATTTCAAGCAGAGGTAACAGCCTATGAGATGATGTAGAGAGGCAGTCAAACTAAGATGGTTTAGAAAGGGTGGTTCAGGTGAGAAGAAAAGAGTTAAGCAGCTGCCACTGGACTGTCAGGAAGATTCTCAGCTCGTCAATGACTCATAAACACCCGCTACACACCTGGCCTTAATGGGGACACCACGCTGTTTGCGGGGCTGGTCCCCTGCTCTCGGGGCTGCCCAAGTGGACACGGACAGGCAACAAACATGCAAACAGTGATGAGAGGCAACTACTCTACCTACTGTTCCTATTTTGGAAGCAAAGTGGACACGAACCCAAAACTGCACTGAAACACTGCTCTGCAGCCGCTGGGGAGGGGTAAGGAGAAAACAGCAATGGGAAAAAGGCCAAGTGCTGGCACAGGCAAGCAGACAGACTGGGCCTCAGGCGCTGCGGCGGGGTGGCGGTGTGGCCACCACAGGGAACAGTTTGGGGTTCCTCAATAAACGAAACACAGAACGACTACATGACCTAGCCACTCTACGCCTAGGGACACATTCAAAAGGTTTGAAATCGGTGTCCAAACAAAAACTTGTGCGTGAATGTTCACACCTGCTCCAGGCATGCTGCAGGGGAAATAACACAAGTGCTCGTCCACAGGCTGTGGCCAGACAAAACGTGGAAGAGCGGTCACAGCAGGGAGTACCAACACTCAACTGTGAAGAAGGAATGAGATGCTCTTACACGCTGCAACACAGACAAACCTCAAAAACATCATGCTCAGGAAAAAAAAAAAAGTCAGACACAAAGCACTGTATGTTTTAGGATTTAATTTATGTGAAATAGCTAGAAAGGGCAAATTCACAGAAGAAGAAAATATTGGTGGCTAGGGCCTGAACAAAGGAGTGGGAACCACCACTTAATGGGTATGGAGCTTCTGTCTGAGGTGATGAAGAAATCCCAGCGCTACACACTGGCGATGGCTGGACACTATAAATAAACCAATGCCACTGAATTGTATCCTTTAAAACTATTAACAAGTGAATGTCTTCTTTCAGGAACATACATCAAAGCAAAAGCAGCTGCACTCTGCCTGTGCTGCCAGGTCACTCAGGGCTCTGTGCATGCGTCAGGGCGCTCAGCTCAGTGGTAGCTGATCTTCACTGAGCACTTCCCCTGTGCCGGACCGTGCTCTATGCAAGCACTTCACAGTCACATGACCTGCCCAAGGCTGCAGAGCCAGGAATCAGAGAGCTGGCAGGTGAACCCAGGCAGTTTAATTCAAGACCACTTTCAGCCAATATATCCTATTACAAAATTTACATGGGGGGTGGGTGGGTGGGTGGGTCTCCCTCGAGGTGCAAGGGATTAGATTTCAGCACTATGAAGCTGTCCACAGCTACCACAGCATTAGCTTGATCCCTGGCCAGGGAGTGACCCACAGGGCACAGCAGACCTCTCCTGTCTCCCTGCTGCTCTCCTCAGCATTGTCTTTTAGTAGGTCTGCCTACTTTGCTCCCCACTCTGTAACTTTGGTACATCCTCTCAACCTTATTTCCTTCCCTACTTTTGGCCTACACCCCAACTCTTGCATGCATAAATAAATCTTTAAAAAATTTTACACCAGAGAATGGTTTACATCTTTTATTTAAGATTTATTTATTTGTATGCACAGAATTGGGGTGCAAGCCGCGGGGGTGGGGGTGAGAGGATTCACCAGAGACGCTGTGGGGAGCAGAACAGGCAGACGTATTGAAATACACTGCTGAAGGGAGCAGTGGGTAGGCCAGGAGAGGTCCGCTACACCATGTGGGCCAGCTTCCTTGCTGGGGCTTAAGCTCATGTTGCAGTGGCTGTGACAGCTTCATAGTGCTGTGCTTTAAACAGCTGCACCACCAGGGAGGGCCGGTTTTCATCTTTTTGGAAAATGAACTGGCAATGAAGATGTCACATTCTATTCTAGGTAAAAAAGACTAACCAAAGTACCTGCAGTAGAAGTAGATTACTGTAATTGCCAACATTTTGTGAACTGCATTCGACAATGAGTTATTCAAGGGAAAAAACAAAACAGAGCTATACTTCATACAAGCTGGACATCGAGTTAGGCACCAGTTAAAATTTCTGCTAAGCCTGTTTGGTATAATCATTAGTTAATTTAAAATTATAGCAAATATCTGTAATCCACAGGTCTATTTGGAAAATACAAGGCTACAAGGGATTAGAAAAACCATTATTAACCAAGCCCTCCCTGGTGGCGCAGCAGGTTAAAGCATAGCACTAAGAAGCTTAAGCCACTTCCGCATGAGTTCGATCCCCGCCTGCCCTGAGGAGATCCACATGGCGCGGCAGACCTCTCCTGGCCTGCCCGCTGCTTCCCTCAGCAGTGGACTTTGTCGATCTGCCTGTTCTGATCCCCACTCTGTCCCTGGTGAATCCTCTCACTCTCCACATCTCTGGCCTGTACCCCAGTTCTGTATGAATAAATAAATAAATCTTTTTAAAAAAATCATTATTAACCATAAACATACTATGAAGAAAATTAAAAAGTGGTTAAGAAGTGGGAAAAAATCCAAAAGGAGACTAATGCATAAGACTAAGTCCTTGCCTACATGGCCTAGAAGGTGGAGCATCACACGTCCCTAGTGGTATCCAGAGCCTGTATTTATTATTAAATATCACAATGAGGCCCTCCCTGGTGGCACAGTGGGTTAAAGCACAGCACTAAGAAGCTTAAGCCACTTCCGCATGAGTTTGATCCCCATCTGCCCCAGAGGAGATCCACATCGCGCGGCAGATCTCTCCTGACCCGCCCGCTGCTCCCCTCAGCAGTGTACTTCGTCGATCTGCCTGTTCTGCTCCCCACTCTGTC